TTACAAAGAATAGAGAAGCTGCGACGACTGGTGACATATCTTTAGATATTGTGAATGAGATTACCCTTACACCTTTAGAAGAAAAAAGTCAGCCCCAAATAATGGCACCCCTACAAGATGTTTCGGGATATTTAAAAAAAAACGAAAAATTAAATATTTAGGTCCTGCGAAGTTTGTAAGGGTAATCTCTATAGCGAAATTGAAAATGACTTTATTAGAAGAAGAGATTTTGCCAATCGTCGTTGGCTTTCCAGCCCTAGCCTAGATTTTTTAACATGCATATCTAACATGCAAGATATTATAAATAAAATATTAAGTAATAATTTAAATCAAAAAGCCTTTAGAGAATACGTAAAAACAATTATTCTTTTATTTTTAATTTTTCAACATGCTCTGTACATAAAGATAAATTAATAGAACATTTAATTAATTTTGTATGTCGATTTTTTATGTTCACGTATTGTAAAAATATAAATAAAATATTATCTGGCAAAAAAGATATTGACAGTGACGAGGATGTAATGCAGTGCAAAGCAAAAAAGTATTTTAAAAAATGTTTTAAAAGAAAAATTTGAAATATATTATTATTGCATTGAGCCAACAATGCATTATTAAAAACTTTTGTTTCATCCAAATGTGCATGCCTTAAGCGCTCATATTATAACGTCAACGTTTCCTTTGAAAACACTTAACAGAATTATTTTAAAACGATCAGAAATCAACTTTAATTAATATTACTTTAATTTTTAGGTATTTGTACTCAGACATGAAGGCATTGACGACTCCATGGCGCATGAGCTATATAGCTCATTGCTAAGCTACTGTGCTGATAAGCGCTATAACGCTGAGGGCCGCGGGTTCGAATCCCGCACGGAACAAGTATTTGTATGCCCTACAAGTAATTGACTGCTTCTACGATACGGGATAAAATAGTTATAACTAAAGAAAACAAAATTAAACTGCTTTTTCAACAAAACAAAATTTAGCAATTCATCTATCTTGTGGGAAGCCATGGATTGTGAATGACATTCCATGGTTTCCCACAAGATAAAAGAGATAAGAAAATAGATTAAAATTTTTGTAACTTTTGAAATTACAATTCCAAATGATATTTTCAAAATCACACTCCGCATAATCACACCATAGTCACACACTAATGTAAAAATAGCAATTAAATGATTTAAAAAAATTTAAATTCAGCAATAATTAATCTTTCTAACAATGTGCATTTCATACCATTTAAATGTTCAATAAGCTTGTTAGATACGATTTCATGCGACAAAACGTTGAATTCTTGATTTTAGATCCTAGTAGAACATACCCACGCGCTTTGAGCTTAAGGCATGCAATAATATCGAATACTGGTTATGTATTAGAAAATATAACTATAATATATAAATATTATATTATGACCTACTATGACAACTATTATGCCAATACAAAATAAAAACATTATAACAATATGTGTTTTATTTTCTGCAGCCTTAAGTAATCCCTTAATTTATTCATATACGTTAGTCTATATATACTATATATATATATATATATATATATATATATATATATATATATATATATATATATATATGCAAATAGCTATACGTATATTTAGATAGACATATAGCTATCTACATAATTATATATATAGCAGGAGAGTTGTAGGTTTGTAGTTACAGATGGCGTCACCAATCGCTTTCCTTCTGAACCCGTTGAGTAAAGCCTCTATTCCTATATATAAAAAAGTACTCTGTGCCTAGATTTAAAAAAGTACTCTGTGGCTTGCTTCATTGCTGCAGTTGCTACAAGTAAGAAATACAAAATAACTACCACGACGTCCATTTAGTTAAACGTTTAGGATGGGTTTTAGATTATAACTTACATTAAAATTTAGTATAGATTGTTTTTTTTAAATGTTTATAAGATTTTAATACGCATATTTTGAATTTAAATAATTTGGTAGTTTATTTAATTCAATTATAATAAAATAAACTACTGAACAATATATTTATTTTATTAATGGTAACATTTAGCATTAATTTGTGGAGTTTAATGATACAAGAATAAAATAGTCACTTTGTTAGCAAACCCGTAGTATATTACAACCTATTTTCAACTTAGTCGGTTAGCGTCAGCGAGCGACATCTGTACCTATTTATAGTGCCACCAACTTATCTGTTCAGTTTACAGAGTCGCTAGTGGAGTGCTTACTATTGCCATTTAAGAAATTCGCCGAGGAAATAGGTGACTACATATTCATTAGGTACACATAATATAAAATAAAACAAATTTCGTGTTAATATATTAAAATTAGTGAGAATTAGTGTTATTATATATATTATTTATATTTTATAAAAATAATTGTGGTCGTGGTCTCGGAGTTCAAGCGGCCGAACTCCAGGAATTTCTGTTTTGAAAGACGTACCCGCGTTAGCTACTGATTCCAATAATTCATCTTCTGAGTCACTGGAATCGCTTTCGCTATCGCTCTGACACTCTATAATAAAGGGTTCATCTAAATACGCGTCTTTTAGTCTGTATGCATTTTCAATTTTTTTCACATGATTACAAATGTTTTTCCACTGCACCGGTGTAATTTTATTGAATGCATCTTCAATTAATTGGGGCATTAGAACATTAGATTTTCCAACATTTTTGTCTGCTATGTTCCTTTTCATAGAGCTCCATATCATTTCAATTGCGTTCAAGTCGCAATGATAAGGCGGCAATCTAAGAATAACATGGCCATAACTTTTCATCAGGTTATCAATTTCATATTCCGGAGCTGGTTTATTTTTCTTTATTAACTCATAAAGCTGTGGTTTTGTCATTTGTTCATTGAAATCCACATTGTTTTCTACAAGCCACTTCTGCATATCAGCCTTACTGTGGTTTGAATTAGGACACCTATTTACGCAAATACTATGGTATGGCGCATTATCCATCACAATGAGAGAAGGTTCATGCAGATTAGGTAGTAATTTTTCATATACCCATTTTTTGAAATTAGTGCTATTCATTTCATCACGGTAGTCCCCATACTTTGTATTTGATTTAAATACGAGAAGTGCATTTTCCACAAAACCTTTTTCTCCACCTGCATGGATTATGATCCACCTATTACCTTTCGAAACAGGTTCCAAATCGCCATCCTCTTCAGGACCTTGCCAACATTTCCCAGTTGAGTGAGACGAATGTATGTAAGTTTCGTCTAAATAAATAATAGGTCTTTTTTCACCACACTCATTTTCTTTAATTTTTTGTAGGTAGGTTGCTCTCCATGCAACTACGTCGTTACGTTCATACAACACTTTTCTATTTGATTTTGTTTTCTTATAACGAAATCCTATTTTGTGAAGCAATTTTCGAAGAGTTTCACGTTCTGCTTTGAAATCAATATCTTCTTTTAAAATACTCAGTAATTTGGGTATGGTAGGAATTTCTTTTTTCACTGAATAAAAATTCGTGAATTTTTCTTCTTATAACACCAATGTCGAAATTATCAACTTCTTGTTTCCCGGTTTTTCTTTGCCTTTTTTTGCCAGGGGTAGAAATTTTAGAATTTGATTCTTCAGCGTGTTTCTCTTCATTTACGAGTTTGTGTACAAATCGCTCAGAAACACCTGTAACGAAACGACAAATAATTATTGTATAGGTAAAATTAAATAAATATAAGCCCGTGTATATGCCGTCACTATAGCTACTTCACAGACCACAAATTACAAAGCTAGGTAATTTAGACGAATTACAGTAAATTGAGAATTTTTTTTTACTATGTTTCACAAGTACATTATTAGGTGATTTTAATTTTCCATATCTGGCAATACTAACCTGTCGCGGCAGTAACGCGTTCATACAGCTTTTCAAATGGTATAATTGGGGCTTGTACACGTTTGTCTTCTTTCATAAAAGATAAAACTTTTAGGATAATCTGTCGCGCATCACTTTTAAGAGCTTTAGGCATTTTATTTGCACTTTTTAAAAACACTCACCTGATAGCTCAGAATAAATAATAACTGACAGCGAAATGTCATTTACAAAATGGCGGCCTTAGTTCCAATTTTGTCCACCTGAACAGATAAGTTGGTGGCACTATACAAACCTTAAAAAAATGACTTTATAAAACGACATAATTAAAAAGGCGCTAAGAAAAGGTCATGTTACTAGATTACGGTACTCCATCAATTTGGTATCATTATTTTCTCCTAGTTGCATGATAAAATGTTCTAAGATTGTACTGCCTGATCGTGACCATAGTGTTGGGAAGTTGGGAAACAGTTGGTGCGGAATTATGGTGTTGCCAAGCTAGGAAATATTGTATTTTGGGTAGAATTATTGTATTTTTTTTGCTAAAGATTTTTTTATTTATTTAAGCTGCCTAAATCCAAATTTAATCTGTTTTTGCTATTTCTTTATATTTGCATAAACTAAAAATATGTTATTAAATGTTTTTTATTAAAATAATAAAATTTAGGGCACGGAATTATACAATATGAACTAAACAGGAATGGAAAATTTGAAGTAGTCTTCTTCTTCGAGTTCGAAATCTCGACGTGTAGATGTAGACGGATTTGACTGCTGAGAAGTTGTTCCATACATAATGTGACCAGACGTCCCGTTTTGAACGGGACTGCCCCTTTTTATAGTTACGAGTCCCGAAATGAACTCTGGGACGCAAAATTGTCCCGTTTTCTGAAACCGCGCGAAAATTTAAGTAGTTGATTCGAGCCAGCCGGACGGCGCCGTGCCGGCGCGGCCGGACGCAAGCAGTGTGCTAGAGCAACACCCATCGTCGGTGGACGCGGGAGCGATGACGTCTTCGCTTCGCCACTTGCGACGATAGCTGAGAGTGGCGAAGACGTCATCGCTCGCGTTTTGTTGACTAATTTTTTGACAGAGTTTTCGTTCACCCACTTCTCGATATTTGTTTTGTTGTTGTTGTTTGTTGCTTGTGTACCTAGTAAATAGCTTAAGCTTCTTTTGTTTTGAAATCATAAGTTAAAATGCCGAAACGTAAGTTGTCGTTCAATGTTAACTTACAAGCAAAATATCCGTTTATCAAGCAAATAAATACTCCCTCAGATGTCAGATGTGGAAAGTGTCGTACAGAATTTAGCGTTTCCCACAGTGGTGCCAGGGATATTGAACAGCATTTAAATTCTAAAAAACATAAAAATGCTGATCGTGCCGCCGCTTTGAGCTCTATATTGTTAACCTTTTTCAAGAAATCGGACGCACCAACTTCAAAAGATTTAAATATCGCCGTGACAGAAGGCGTCTGAGCTTATTACACGATACAAGAAAACCACAGCTATCGCTCTAATAATTGTGCATCGAAATTAATTCAATGTTCATGTTTTGATCCCAAATTTACATGCGCGCGTACGAATACAGACCTATTACAGTAAATATTTTGACACCTGGTGCGATTAAAGAATTAAAAGATGATCTTGATAAGTCCAATTGTATTACAATTGAAGAATACTGAACAACTGCAAACCACGGTAACAAGAAAATATACCCTATTCTAGTGCGCTTTTTTCAACCTTACGTAGGCGTGAAAGTAAAAATTTTGGATCTCCAAGACCAACCATGTGAAACTTCTGACATCATTGTCAATTACTTAAACCAAGTGTTGACAGATAATAATTTGACAGCAGAAGTCGTGGCATTTTGTGGGGACAATGCCAACGTCAATTTCGGAGGCGCTCCTAGGCGAGGAACTAACAATGTGTTAACGAAATTACAATCATCTCTAAAAAAGCCGTTAATAGGTATTGGATGTGGAGCCCATATAATTCACAATAATTAAAATCTGCTGCAGACAGACTACCCTTAGATTACGAAAACATTATTGTTAAGATATATTCATTTTTATGACGATTTTTATGACGACACAATTCGAGTTGAAGCTCTAAAGGAGTTTTGCACCGAAACTGAAACGGAATATCAACAAATGCTCGGCTATAGCAAAACTTGCTCTTATGCCTGCCTCGGAAAGGGTTTTAAAAATTTTGCCTTTAAAAATGTCCCCTGTTATTAAAAAAATTTTTGAAGATCCCACATCCGAATTGTGGCTTTATTTTTTACACGTTCAGTCATCAAGTTTTCATCAAGCTGTATTGAAACTTGAAGGTCAGACCGTATCGGCAATTATAGCTGCAAAATAAATCAATCAAATAAAAGACAATTTGACTCCGAAACAGACTAATCGGTTTCTTCCATTTACCGTCCGTCATATAATAGCGAAATCGAAAGATAATTTTACTAACATATAGATGAAGAGTTTGTGAAAAGTATGGTTACAGAATTTTATAAAACAAGCCGTGAATATGGAGCAGTGGACAAATTCACATAAATTTGCAACTACATTACATCGAAGAAAGTAACCGAATGGAATAATCAAAATGTTTTCACGGAAACTCGTTGGGTGTAAGAAGTATTCAAACACTTTCAAGCCAACAATCCAATCTTCAGCATGAAAACTTTTCTATTTTAATTGAATATATTTTATGTTTGCCTGCTACAAATGCTCATATAGAAAGAGTATTTTCTATGATGAACAAATTATGGACATCTGAGAAAACCCTTACAAGTTTCAGTTCCAAAAGCAATGTTGATAATTAAGGTGAATATAAATAAAACGTGCCAACAGTTTCATTCTTACTTAAAATCATCACCAGCTATATTAAAGCAAATTTGTTCCTCTAATAAATATAAATATAACTGAACGTTTAGGGTATATATATTTTTAATACGTAACTTTTAATCTAACTGACTTTTTCTGAATAAATAACTTTAAAAAAGTTTTTTCATTGGCAACCTGTTAATTGACCTAAAAAACAAATGCCCGTTTTGAGTCAAAAAATAAATGGTCACGTTATCCATACAGGACATTGGAGACAATTTGATTTGCCAATTGTTTCGTGGGTTCAAATGATATACATTGCTATACAAGACGTTTTGCGCTTTTAGAAGCGATGACTACATTATTTGGTATGAGTACGTGATGCGTTCGTACATACATTTTAAAGTTGCGTGTGTCTAGTATTGAACTTATATTGTGTAAAAATAGGAAAATATTGTATAAAAGCGTACAATAATGAGAAAGCTATGTTTTATGGTACAATTTAGTTTCGTATAACAAATTATTGTAAGAATCCAATAATTATTGTACATTTCCCAACACTGCGCCGTTAGCGCAGTGAGTAGTGTGTGTATATTATATGACGTCTACTCGTCGGATCACTTTCCGGTACTTGTTCAGTGGTCTATTAGTACAATTATACATATAGAAGTGACTAATTTAACTAGTAACAAGCCAAAGATAGTATGGGGCAATAGAGACTCGGCGGAAATTCTGAAATATAGTACCTTATGCAATTTTAATTTAAATAATCTTCTAAGACAAATAATTTTTTTTTAATAATAATATTATAATATGTAACTGTGATATAGTTTGTGAGAATAGTGACCATTATACTTCAATAAATGAATTTTATAATAATTTTATTACGATATTACAGACTAGTGCAGAGAATAGTTATAGGCAAATAAGATAAAAATTCATTTGTGATTGGTTGAAACTATCACGTGAGGCATCTACATGTTAAGGCTAGATTAAAGTTTAGTGTATAGGCTGCTGTTGGTAAACCATCTTCTGGTTATTATTATAATGAAATGTCTTCAGCTCGTAAGGAATTTAAATCCGCGCTTAAATTAATTCAAAACCATCAAGAAAAGATAAAGTTAGATATATTGGCCCAAAATAATAAATCGAAAAAATTTGGACAATTTTGGAAGAAGGTGAAGAAGTTAAATCACAACGCGGGTCGTCCTATTAGTATCCAGGGTGAGGTGAATCACACAAAGAAAGATAGCCAACCTTTTTAAAAATAATTTTAATGTTGACATGAAAAATGAGCAAGATACACCCAATTAACTACTCAGAATCATACCTTGTTGAGTACAGAAACATCTCATGCTCAGCTAAATATCGAGAACTGCCTAGTTACGGCGGAGGATGTGGTATCCGTCTTACGTAGCATGAAAAGGGGAAAGTCTCCGAGATGTGACTACCTGAGTATAGAACATCTGTTGCATGCCGGTCAGTTTATTTGTGTGGTCCTCTCTGCATTATTTAACTTATGCATGCGCCACTCATACCTGCCAAATAATCTATTACGTACCATGTGGTGCCGATTCCGAAGTGTAAGACTGGAGATCTCGCAAGCATGGCTAATTACCGACCTACCTTCTGTGTACTAAATATCGGGAATTTGTCAATAAAACAAAAAATACAAATTATTCATCTAAATTTATTTTATCGCCTTCAAAGTAGGCCCCATCGCTTGCAATACAACATCTCCAACGCTTCACCCAGTCTTCCATACATGTTTTTTACTATTTGCGGTATGGCCTTTAGCTCATTCAGCGAATTTTTTGTTATGGCTTCTATCGACTCAAAACGTTTTCCTCGAAGTGGTAATTTTAACTGTGCGAAATAAAAAAAAGACGGAGCCATATCAGGTGAATACGGTGCTTGGTCGAGAACTTTTGTTGAATTTTTCGCTAAAAACTCTTTCACTATAATGGCTGTGTGTGATGGTGCATTATCATGGTGCAGCATCCATGAGTTGTGTTGCCACAAATCTGGACGTTTTCGGCGGATACTCTCGCGCAAACGCTTCATGACGCCTAAATAATATTCTTTATTCACTGTTTCTCCCTTTGGAAGGAATTCGGAGTGAACCACACCACGGTAGTCAAAAAAAAAACTGTCAGCATCACCTTGATTTTGGAGCGACTTTTCCGCGGTTTTTTGGGTTTCGGCTCGTTTTCGAGACGCCATTCTGAAGACTGTTGGCTTGTTTGCATGTCGTACTCATAAACCCATGTCTCGTCGCCATTTATTATACGTTTCATAAAGGTCGGATCCGTAGAAGCTCGGGAAACCATGTCTTCAGCGACATGCTTTCGCTGCGCTCTTTGAACAAAATTGAGCTCTTTTGGAACTAGTCGAGCGGCGACGCGTTTCATGCCTAAAATGTCAATGAGAATGTTGTGGACGGACTTAAAAGATATGTTCACCTCACTAGCCAACTCTCTCAGACTCATACGTCGATTTCCGAGCACTAGCTTCTTGATTTTGTCGATGTTTTCTTTGGTCGTAGCGGTTGAAGGTCTACCAGAACGAGGCAAGTCTACTACTACTTCTCGGCCTTCTTTAAAAGCCTTATACCATTAATAAGCCCTTGTTTTCGATATACACGATTCGCCGTAGGTATTTCGCAACATTTTTAGTGATTTCACCACATGAAATATCATTCGAAACACAAAATTTAAGGCACACTCTTTGTTCAACAATATTTTCCATTGTAAAAATCGCCGAGAACTCAAAATTGTGACCAACAAAAAGTGTAGTTTAAAACAAATTAAATGACAGATCCCGCTCAAACTTTGCGCGCTAAATCAGTACAGTGCTACCAACATCCAGTAAAAAAATTAGAACGACCTCTTTTACGCGGGTCTTTTTATTGACATATTCCCGATACTTTTTACACAGAGTAGTATATCTCTCGCCACTGTTGTGGCCAAGGTATTTGAGCGTTTAATTCAAGCCAAAATTACACCCTACATGTCCATTGACGATGGTCATTTAGACTTAGATATTATTATAATATAATTATTTTTTAATTTTTAGTAATTCTGTACTGTATTGTCTTTTTTTGTTGGTAATTTATATGGGTGCAATGTGCCTGAAATAAAGAGAATTTATTTATTTATTACTTTGTTAGTTCCCATCTCTATAACATCACAAATAAAGTTCTGAATAGTTACCCTTTAACCCTAAATGTAAATTCGCTACCCGGGATTGGTTACTGAACCTAGAGTTTGATGATGTAGAAAATATTATTCAGGTCAAAAACCTTAAATAACATACCTCAATTACATACATCAGTTAACACTCACGAAAAAAGCACACACACACATTTACATAACCCACACATTCTAATACTCATAACACACACCCAACCAATCTTACAAACATACTATCCCTCATGCAACTACGCTTCCTTATAATTATACCATACACCAAACACACCTTGTGGTAATCTTGCATATATTTCTATTCTGATTTGTATCTACCTACATGTTTTAATTTTAACTTATGCTTGTAAAGATTTTAAACATTGTCTGCAAAAATTTTTTGTATAAGAACTTACCTATTATGTAATATTATTTGAACATTCAGTGGCACAGTTTATACTAGTACGGCTGC